AATTGTTTTTGCATAGATAAATCTATATAGTTATTATCGATAATCTAAGTTATCGTAATTTTTTCCCGTCATCGGCGTCAATTATTTCACATCATATCATACCTCAACATTATACTGTAGGCCTATGAGTAGTGGTAAGCAGCTAATATTATTCATTATTATTATTTAAAAACATACATATTGGTAAAAGGAGGCACGAAGTGCATATGCCGGTGTGATACTGCCCGAGTGCCCTGACCGAAGCACGTGGTTTTCTTAGAGGGCCACACCCGGAGTCATCGACATTAAAAGTTAGATAAGCATACGAATATGCAACCGTACACTTGCTCATTTCTGAATTCTTACTTGTTTACGTTAAACAGTAGTATCTTATCCATCATCAACGTGTTAAGTTCTAATATTGTTTTTAGGAAACACCTTTATGTGATCAAGATTATCTCAAAATAAAATTATATACTAGTACTACGATGTTTATAATGGAATAAAACGTCCAATAACTGATATTTTCTCTCTTTTCCACGCACATCACAATTCTAGAAAACATCAAAATTGATTGATTAATTTTCTTTCAAAAGAGTGCTGTGTAAATAGTTTATATTACTTAGTAACTATTGTCGTGTGTTACGATGAAAAGCCTTCAGTCAGTCAGTCAGTCAGCTACAACGTAGGACCAGGCACATATATGCATCGGTCCAAGTTGCCATACCGCATTATCACAGCAAAATGAACACTGGATTCATAGACGTGTTTACTTCAATGTGGGTAATATATAGAAGAAAGATTGCATATACAAGTGTATTACAGGAAGAAAGAATTAGTTCGTAGAAAGAAAGATATGAAGCGATTTTAATCTCTTAGTTTAAGGGAAGACAGGGAGTGTATACACCTACGACATTGTGATCGATTCTGAGTCATGTCACCAGGAGTCTCCAACCCTTGGTTACGATAGTCATGCGGACCCCAACCAAGTACTCTGCATCTACCAACATGGCTCAGACTAGAAGTTATTGTCTTCAAGCACTGACACCACGTTTTGGTTTGGCCGCCCCTAACCTTTTTCCAACGATCCCCAACACCGGTTAGCATTGGTAATCGGTGTTCAGGCATACGCAACACGTGGCCCAACCATCTCAGTCGATGAAGATTAACAACCTCATCAACTGATTTACCATCATTACCTAATACCCTGCGTTTAACCTCACTATTACTTACCCGGTGATCCCAACAAACGCCAGCAATATTTCTAAGGCATCTGTGGTCAAATATTAGTAGCTTACGGGCGTCTTCTACTCTTAAAGGCCATGTTTCGCTGCCGTAAAGTAAAACAGAACGGACTGCCGCGCAGTATACTCGTCCTTTTATTGATAGAGAGATATCTTGCATTCGCCAAAGATGACGTAAGTTGGCAAAAGCCAAGCGAGCTTTTCGAATCCGTGCTGAGATTTCGTCCGATACCAGCCCATTAGGGCTGATCAGACTTCCAAGATAAGTGAAGCTGACAACGCATTCGACTACTTCACTCCCTATCCTTAATTCAGGTGTTGACGCAGACCAGTCCTGATGCAGCAGTTTGCACTTAGAGGGAGAGAAGCGCATTCCAAACATTCTGGCATTGTTGCTTAGTGATACCAAATGACTCTGCATTTTGTCAGCGTCTTCACCAAACAGGACTATATCATCTGCTTATTCTAAGACGATAAGTGGACCTCCTAGTAGGAGATCAATACCTGAGAATTCAGTCCTCGACAATGTTATTTCCATCAGTAGGTCTATGATGAAGTTAAAGAGAAATGAAGAAAGTAGACAGCCTTGACGGACACAACTTGAGGCTGCAAAGTAGACGACAGTTCGCCATAAGTTCTCATTTGACTAGTAGTGTTCGAGTAAAGAGCCTTTAAAAGGCTTATGCAGCTCTGGGGTACGCCTTTCAATGACGGACACTGCCTCAGAATCTCGCGGTCTACCGAGTCAAATGCTGCATCTAAGTCAAGAAAGACCACCATCATCGGACGTCGATAAGTATGCCTGTGTTCTAGAACCTGAAGAATGGTGAATATGTGGTCGATGCAGCCACGACCAGGTCTGAAGCCAGCTTGGTTCTCTCGTGTTTGCAGTCCACGAGTCTTAGTTAGGCGCCTGATAATTATCGAGCCTAGTATTTTAGATACTATATTAGTTAAACTAATCACTCTGTGGTTGTCACAGGATGATTTTGACCCTCTTTTATATACTGGGACGATAAGTGATTGCGACCAGTTAGATGTGATAACGTCTAACTTCCAGATTCTAGCTAAAATATTAGTCAACCTAATCGCTAAAATTGGACCACCATCCTTAAAATTATCTGGAGCCAATCCATCTGGACCAGCTGCGCTTCCTCGTTTCAGATTAACTATAGCCTTTTGGACTTCAGCAAGAACTAGGGGACCTACTTCAATGTTCCATTCACATTGTCTGGGAATAAAGGGTAGTTGTAGAATAGCTAAAGGCCAGCTGAACTGTTCTCTAAAATGTTCCGCCCATCGTTCTAAACGTCTGTACTGGGAGCAGGTGAGAGTATCGTCTTTTTCCGAAATAGTCTGACTTACACTTGACTTAGTAATTCCACCTTCTTTTATTAGTGTGTAGAGCTATCTTTTGTTCCCTATAGCCACTGCCCTTTCCATCTCTTTTGCTTTCGTTGCTCACCACTGCTCACGGTCGTTCCTTAGACTTTTGCTTAACTCAGATCTGATTTGTTTACGTTCTTCATCATGTTCAGAACCTGATGAGATGAGTTTGCGAGAATCCATCAGTGTGATAGACTTTGAAGAAATCCACTGGTTCTTTGTAACTCTGTGGTTTAAGTCACTAATAGATTTCGTTGCTGTTTCCACAGCTGTTTGTATATCTTTCCAAGCAACATCTGGGTCAGCCTCGTTTTCAGAACTACCTAAGTGTGACCTCAGTTGTTCCTGGAACCTACTTTTGGTTTTCTCGCTACTCAATTCAGTTCTAATGGGTCTTTTTACTGTGGCTTTTCTGCGTCCAGTGAGGCGCAAGCAGATGCGTGCGCGTAACAGGGCATGGTCGGAGTCCAACCAGGTACTCCAGAATGAGCGACAAGCTTCTACCGACCCTCTCCAACGATGACTGATGGCAGTATGGTCCATTTGAGTCCATCGTTGGTTTGGTGTAGGGGGTCGCCATGTTAAACAATGTCTCTCCTTATGCTTTGTGTTTGCTAAAAATAAACGATTGTCCGAGCATAGTTGCAGCAGACGATCACCATTATCTGTTCGCTGAACCAGAATACTAAAATATCCACCTTCTTTTTGGTTTAAGCTACCTATCTGGGCATTAAAGTCACCTCCTGTGGGTACTATGTCTGAACGTTTAGCTTTCTGAAGAATTTCAGATAGCTTTCTGTAAAATTCATCTTTCAATCCTTCCGAGCTGCAGTCAGTGGGAGCGTAGGCATAAAGGACAAAAAGGCAACAACGTGTGTCCCTATTCTTTCGAGTTCTTACGGAGCCGTTTAGCCGAACAGCACATGAACGACTGTTAACAGGGATCCACTCTAACAGTGCTTGTTCCGCCCTCATTCTTAGTGCTATGCCTACACCGGTCAGTGCACGAGAACTGGCCATCGAGTCACCAGATACACGGAGGGTGTGTCTCGTTGGCTCTCCGTTTCGCCGAGGTGAGGTCAACTGAATGACGACACTAGGATTCTGTATGCGTGTTTCGAAGACATGGCATACATCAACGGTAAGAGAACCTAGGGTTTTAGCCAAGGAAGCTTGCTGACCAGTTTGACATAAGGTGCGTACGCTGAAGGCTCCAATGTGTGGTTTGGAGTGAGGTTTCAGTTGACCTGCGGCAGTGTTTTGCGCGGTAGGACCGTTGGCTATGGTGACACTTGAGGGGGGAGACGAAAGAGGAAGTTTAGTGTTGAAAGTCGATGTAGGAGCAATGATAGGAATTGAAGAAGGAGGTTGATTATGAATACAGTGGTCTTGAGTGTTGTCAGAGGTATGAGGACGGTTATCACTCCCCGGTTGCGCACAACGTGGAAGGGTTCTTCTGGAGGTACCTGGAAAGGAAATTGGATTAGGGGTTGTCTTAGTGACCTGAGAGCGTGACCGCAGTGCCCAGGGGACAACTGCTTGAGGTCGGTCACACACGACCTTTTCATGGGTAATTTTTGTGTTAGCTCCGTACTTGTTGAGACCTCACCGCCGGAGACGGATATCCACGGGAGAAGGCGAGGTGTGTATTTTTAGGGTCGACCTTTTCTAACCCCACCCCTCCTTGTGGGAAGGCAGCATCGCTGTCATGCTGGTTGTCTGAAAAGCCTTCAATATTAAAGAGTGAGAAACTCATCATTGGTGAAAAGATATAAGAACAGAATTGTAATTGTTATAAGATTCCACTTGAAATTTGTGTTGAGGATAACGGTTAGTAATTGGTAAGTATTCTACGCTTATGTCAAGTAGATTATCTAGAACCTACCCTACACAAACCATGTTGGCACCACCGAAAGATACACCAATAGATCAGTCCTGGCATCAGCTTGATTTCAAATTGATGAACATGTTAAGGGTTTAGTGTTAGAATAACAAACACACCAATGACGCATAAACTACTTCATGCGTACAGTTTTCTCAACGATAATACGATTTTTACAATTGAATGATCATTAGGTAGTGACTAATGCCATGTATTTCAAGTCCTTCTTCGTGTTAGTCGAATCCTATCGGCAAATTTGAAATGTAGCTAATTAGTCTAGGTGACGCTACATCGCTTGCATTATGTCGAGATGTAAAGAGGTGGTTAGAGATAACGATCGATTTAAGAGCCAACTGTGCTTAAAACAATCAGTTCTCTTTATCATCATATCAAAACACGCCAATAAATTGAGAATCTTCCGTGGTAGGTAGGTGCCCATCAATAAGAACATAAGTAAAGTTCTATGTAAATGACTCAAGTTCAAAACTTTCGTAATACTTATCTTACAAGTTTAGTTCTTATTCAGGACTTCCTTTCATAGCATATATATATATGTACATTATCTATTCAGTCCATTTATGTAAACATTCAACATTGGTACAAACATAATATAAACGCATATTTTCTTCCGCTTTCAATGTCTGTGATTGAAAAAATACAGCTTCTTGTTTACCGCATCGACGACATATATGATCTTCTGTTCGAGGCAGTGTTGGATCATGAACAACATCCGGTACAATTAAAGCCAATTCACTTTAGATGGATAAAAGAAATACTATTTGATTTAAAAAAATTAACGGGAAAAGTTTATAATTTGAAGTTGTACATTTCATAATGCAATTTTACACTGACAAGACTATGAAACTACTAGTGAGTATACCTCCGCTGGTCTAACTACCCTGTTGGCAGAACATAAATTGTATGAAATCATGCTTAGTGCACGATTGCTTTGGCGAACGCTGATCGGTTAATTCCTATCCAATCAGCACTAGTCGATACTTGGAGAACACTCTATGATCTTCTCATGTTAAAACTATAAATTTACTAACGTTTTTCCTACTGTGCTTCTTACTTCCATCTTTATCCATTCTGTCAAGCAACAAGTAGTATAAGGCACGATTCCCCCATTCTATCTTCATCTGACAGCAACCGGTTAATCCACCCATCACTTGAGGCAAACATTTTGTGAACTGTGAAAACGTTTCTGGACTTGGATGTGGCTAGTGGCAGAACAGTAAAAAAGATTGTCCTACATGCCCTCAAATGCCCTGGTATGGTCGCGAATGGGCAGAGTCAGCTCTCCCCCTCGAAATGTTCTCACATGGCCACGTGTCTATAGCCTCTGTCAGGGAAGTCCTACTCACTGCCTTCTCGCGAAGGAGGGTGTTGTTTACAAAATTGAGAGGAAGAAAGCGAATATCCAGCGCTTTAATTGGGTTGGTGAACACACAGTCCACCTAGAAAAGTTGAAAAACCCTGATTCCAAACCAATGGTGCACATGGGCTGGCTCTAGGAACCTGTAGGAACCAATGGCGTATGAACATATTATTGGTGACCGGCTACCATGGGATTGCATCTCCTGACGTTGCTCCACTACCTAGTTGATTAGACCTACAGGTCAAAGGCCCTCTGTTTCGGTTTGGGTACCCGGGCAGTATCCCAGGCCTAACACAAATCCAATGGTTTATGTGGAGCATATCTATTTCGTGCCTCTTTGTGCCAATGTTTATGTGCTTAAATAAATAAATTATTCTACGTATATCGAAAGCCGATCTTTGACATCTTTGAAACCATCAAGACAAAACTTTGCATTCATCAACAACATATTAGTGTAAGGAATCCTGAGTTACACTACTTTTATGCTTTGACATTAAAGAGACCATGATTTTTGAGTGACCGATATTTCACTAACAATCTCTTTGGTATTTTCGAAACTATCATTATTGGATGAAAAGCGTTGAACTGTCATCATATGATATAGTGAGGCGGTATGACATGACTGTGCAAAGTTAACAGATAATGGGGCGGTATGGTCAGTCAGGTGGAGTCTCTGAAGTTGTGAAACTAAGTAACTTGAGACTCCATCAGTTGATGCAAAATAGAATGCAGAGACGAACAATTTAAACAAATAATATGATCCATCTCGGAATTGCACTAGGCATTGGTTATATTCACACTGGAATCCCGTCACTGTCAAAATAGTGGTCATCTGAAGCGATTTCTTCTCTTCTTAATGCATTGAAACTACTTTAACAAGACATGTGTGAGTAAAATATCATATCATAAGAATGCTAGTAAGTAGAACAAATAAATAAAAACGACTCAAAACAGTGGTATGGATACTTACTCAACTTCCTGTTCCAGTTTGTTGATATAAACACAGGGATTGTCTGCTTCCTGGGAATAATCACAGTTACGACATGCGTAGTATAATGTTTTTGTACGCTTATCCTCTTTAGGATACAACATGTTGTTGCATTCACTGCAGAACAAAATCCCAACATGACACTGGCTTGATTTCACATCATACTAAAATGTAAGTTAGAAAACGCTATCAGTAGAATATTCTGAACATACGGTTTCCATCTTTACTAAATCAATCCTTCAAGCGTACTTCTCGAAGAGGCTAGAAATTCCAATCAAGTAACTACAAGATTAATAAATCAGACGACCACAATTTATATAACTAAACTGCGAAAATTGACAAGACATTTGATAAACACCTAATAATAATATAAATAATTTATTTGATAAAGTCAGTCAGTTATAATCAACGTAAAATCTAGCATATATATATGCGTCCGTTCTAGTTGTGACACAAAATTAGCGGTGAGGTAAAATTATCATGAGAAATCCCATTGTAGTAGTAGTAGGAAAAGATGGAATAAGATTTCGGAGTTCAGGAGCTAAGAGAAGATAAATAGTGAATGCATTTGCGTCGCTCAGGATGATTTAGATTCCTGTCAACCAAAATCTCTAGCTATTGATTACAATAAATGTGTGAACACCAACCTACTTGGCTGTCAGGCAGTTAATGATTTCATGGATTAATACGTTTTAGTTTGGCTACACCAAATTTTTATCCAACCGGATTCTGCACTAAGCAACATCGCACCCCAAGGTAGGCAGTAGTTGTGAGTACGTAATACATATTCCAACTACTTCGGTTGATCAATATTCACTGCCTTAACAGCCGATGTCCGATGCTTATTTCTAAAAGGATGTCTATGACGAGATTAAATGAAAATGCAGAAAGAAGGGAGTCCTGAACAACACCGCCTAAGGTTGTCGATTCTCATGACAGCTAACCATAAGCTCTAACTCAATCAGAATCTTGTAAGCAAACAACCTGTACAAGGTTGATATACTCCTTTGGTACGCTACTCAATGTCAAAGGGGAGGGGTGGGGTTAGAAAAGGTCGACCCTAAAAATGCATACCTCGCCTTATCCCACGGATATCCGTCTCCGGCGGTAAGGTCTCAACAAGTACGGAGCTAACACAAAAATTACCCATGAAAAGGTCGTGTGTGACCGACCTCAAGCAGTTGTCCCTTGGGCACTGCGGTCACGCGCTCAGGTTACTAAGACCACCCCTAATCCAATTTCCTTTCCAGGTACCTCCAGAAGAACCCTTCCACGGTGTGCGCAACCGGGGAGTGATAACCGTCCTCATAACTCTGACAACACTCAAGACCACTGTATTCATAATCAACCTCCTTCTTCAATTCCTATCATTGCTCCTACATCGACTTTCAACACTAAACTTCCTCTTTCGTCTTCCCCCTCAAGTGTCACCATAGCCAACGGTCCTACCGCGCAAAACACTGCCGCAGGTCAACTAAAACCTCCAAACCACACATTGGAGCTTTCAACGTACGCAAACTGGTCAGCAAGCTTCCTTGGCTAAAACCCTAGATTCTCTTACCGTTGATGTATGCCATGTCTTCGAAACACGCATACAGAATTATAGTGTCGTCATTCAGTTGACCTCACCTCGGCAAAACGGAGAGCCAACGAGACACACCCTCCGTGTATCTGGTGACCCGATGGCCAGTTCTCGTGCACTGACCGGTGTAGGCATAGCACTAAGAATGAGGGCGGAACAAGCACTGTTAGATTGGATCCCTGTTAACAGCCGTTCATGTGCTGTTCGGCTAAACGGCTCCGTAAGAACCCGGAAGGATAGGGACACCCGTTGTTGTCTTTTTGTCCTTTATGCCTACGCTCCCACTGACTGCAGCTCGGAAGGATTGAAAGATGAATTTTACAGAAAGCTATCTGAAATTCTTCAGAAAGCTAAACGTTCAGACATAGTACCCGCAGGAGGTGACTTTAATGCACAGATAGGTAGCTTAAACCAAAAAGAAAGGCATTCAGGTGGATATTTTAGTATTCTGGTTCAGCGAACAGATAATGGTGACCGTCTGCTGCAACTATGCTCAGACAATCGTTTATTTTTAGCAAACACAAATTTTAAGCATAAGGAGAGACATTGTTTAACATGGCGACCCCCTACACCAAACCAACGATGGACTCAAATAGACCATACTGCCATCAGTCATCGTTGGAGAGGGTCGGTAGAAGCTTGTCGCTCATTCTGGAGTACCTGGTTGGACTCCGACCATGCCCTGTTACGCGCACGCATCTGCTTGCGCCTCACTGGACGCAGAAAAGCCACAGTAAAAAGACCCATTAGAACTGAATTGAGTAGCGAGAAAACCAAAAGTAGGTTCCAGGAACAACTGAGGTCACACTTAGGTAGTTCTGAAAACGAGACTGACCCAGGTGTTGCTTGGAAAGATATACAAACAGCTGTGGAAACAGCAGTGACATCCATCAGTGATTTAAACCACAGAGTTACAAAGAACCAGTGGATTTCTTCAAAGTCTATCACACTGATGGATTCTCGCAAACTCATCCCATCAGGTTCTGAACATGATGAAGAGCGTAAACAAATCAGATCTGGGTAAGCAAAAGTCAAAGGAACGACCGTGAGCAGTGGTGGGCAACGAAAGCAAAAGAGATGGAAAGGGCAGTGGCTATAGGGAACAAAAGACAGCTCTACAGACTAATAAAAGAAGGTGGAATTACTAAGTCAAGTGTAAGTCAGACTATTTAGGAAAAAGACGATACTCTCACCTACTCCCAGTCCAGACGTTTAGAACGATGGGCGGAACATTTTAGAGAACAGTTCAGCTGGCCTTTAGCTATTCTACAACTACCCTTTATTCCCAGACAATGTGAATGGAACATTGAAGTAGGTCCCTCAACCCTAGCTGAAGTCCAAAAGGCTATAGTTAATCTGAAACGAGGAAGCGCAGCTGGTCCAGATGGATTGGCTCCAGATAATTTTAAGGATAGTGGTCCAATTTTAGCGATTAGGTTGATTAATATTTTAGCTAAAATCTGAAAGTTAGACGTCATCCCATCTAACTGGTCGCAATCACTTATCGTCCCAGTATATAAAAGAGGGTCGAAATCATCCTGTGACAACCACAGAGTGATTAGTTTAACTAATATAGTATCTAAAATACTAGGCTCGATAATTATCAGACGCTTAACTAAGACTCGTGGACTGCAAACACGAGAGAACCAAGCTGGCTTTAGACCTGGTCGTGGCTGCATCAACCACATATTCTCCATTCTTCAGGTCCTACAACATAGACATACTTACCGGCGTCCAACAATGGTGGTCTTTCTTGACTTAAAAGCAGCATTTGACTCCGTAGACTGCAAGATTCTGAGGCAGTGCCTGTTATTGATAGGCGTACCTCAGAAGTCATAAACCTCACGGCAGCGAAACATGGCCATTAGGAGTTTAAGATACTCGTAAGCTACTAGTATTTGACCACAGATGCCTTAGAAATATTGCCGGCATCTCCTGTGATCACTTGGTAAGTAATACTGAGGTTAGACGCAGGGTATTAGGTAATGATGGTAAATCAGTTGGTGAGGTTGTGAATCTTCATCGACTGAGATGGTTGGGTCACGTGTTGCGTATGCCTGAACACCGATTACCAATGCTAACCGGTGTTGGGGATGGTTGGAAAAAGGTTAGGGGCGGCCAAACCAAAACGTGGTGTCAGTGCTTGAAGACAATAACTTCTAGTCTGAGCCATGTTGGTAGATGCAGAGTACTTGGTTTGGGTTCGTGTGACTATCGTAACCAAGGGTTGGAGACTCCTGGTGACATGACTCAGAATCGATCACAATGTCGTAGGTGTATACACTCCCTGTCTTCCCTTAAACTAAGAGATTAAAATCACTTCATATCTTTCTTTCTACGAACTAATTCTTTCTTCCTGTAATACACTTTTATATGCAATCTTTCTTCTATATATTACCCACATTGAAGTAAACGTCTATGAATCCAGTGTTCATTTTACTGTGATAATGCGGTATAGCAACTTGGACCGATGCATATATGTGCCTGGTCCTACGTTGTAGCTGACTGACTGACTGACTGAGATATTCCAGACAAATCAGCTTTTTACTTCGAAAATGCCTTATCACCAGAGACAGAGATCAGTGGGTAAGGTATAAAATTTCTAGAGTTGATCTTTACGAACTCTCACTTTCCGTTGTGAGAAAGCAGAATCGTTGTAAGTGCTAGTTTCCTGAAGAAAAAAGTCAACGTCTATCAGACTACTGTACAGTCGGTAGTACAAATTCACCCTCGAACCTTAATCTGTTTGGTTTAGTTTTACCGTTCTCCAACGGACATGCATAGCATGGCAAAATCTTTAAGAACTAATGTCCTAGGCAGCATAGAACGACTGTACCATTACAGTAGGTAAGGCTGGCTACCACACCAAGGTAGCGGCTACGGTTGTGATATTTGATGAATTTTACACCTTTGCTATATTTACTTCATATACGTCCAGTGAGGGATTTACCAAGAGCATGAGGTGATTTAGTATTCCAGACCTTTGACAGTGCATCATATTACAGATTTAGTGGTTGAACTTACAAAAACAAGTGAGTTTTCTATACAACAGAATGTCATTCTTCCATATCCTTGAATCGTCTGTATTTTTATTACAGTTGTTTGATGATCTAGTTAGGATATAATGAGTATTTGCAATTAATGCCTACAATTGTCGACTGCGTAGCAGGGTAAACTTTAATATATCCCGAGAGGAAAGTTACTTACATAACCAAGTCATAAATGAACCGCACACTGATTGACATAAACAACTTCTCACCAGAAACAGCGGTTCATCACATCAAGTTAATATGTTTCATAACAACACTTCCTATAAAAATATCCAGAGGACCAATAAATGTATGATTTTTAGTGACTGATAAAAGTTTCAGAAAATCGGATTCCTTTACAACTTTTTCTGTAGAATATTTATGATATATAGGGTGGAAGTTTTGGGACTTTTGAGCAACATACAATGAACCAAAACTAAGTTAAACAGTACTAGTATTGTGGATTGTGAAATCAGAGAGTAGAGACTTATATTCACAAAAGAAAGGAAAATCTGGCGAGACTATAGTTTGTGAACGAACCAATCAGGTATAAGATAGCAGATCTCGGATTTTCCACGAAAGTCGTTCATCTATTTGGCTAAAGAGAGTT